TTTTTGGTGGGATCTAGTCATCAGGAAGGTGATCTACTGTTCGGCATCAAAATCAGGAAGAACTGGAGTACGGGGAAGAGTCCCAGAAAAGTTGGACTCTTCGTTTTTTATCTGATCTTGGGCGCCCAGGTATTCCTAGTTTTCTTTTGATTTTCTAAAGAGCGTCTTGGTTTCTGGAATTTTCTGAACCTCCCGAAGTGATTGATTCACTCTTCTCTCTGTTGGGAGGCGTGGGGAGTAGAGAGATTTCTCCCCAGCTAGGGTTTTCTTCTTCCGGAAGGGTTGGTTTCTATGTGTGTGATATTAAATTATTTTTTGAAGGTCTCCAATCTATTTTTTCTTACTGTTGAACTGTTTGAAGTAAGATGGAGAGTTGGAATACCGAGATGATGGTCACCAATCTACATTAAAACTTGATGGTACAAATTATTTGGAGTGGGCACAATCAGCTAAGATGGCTATTGGTGCCCATGGAAAATTATGGTATCTCACTAGGAAGGAGAAGAAACCTGATACAAACTCTTCCCGATGGGTGTAGGAGAATTACATGGTAATGTCCTGGCTGTGTAATTCTATGTAACCTCATATTGCAAAAAATTTCTTATGGGCTAATACTGCTAAGGAGATTGAGGATGGAGTGACCGAAACCTACTCTCAAAAGCAAAATGAAGCCAGAGCCTATCAATTAAGAAATCAGGTGATAAGTATGAAACAAGGAGAAAAACCTCTTGCTGTGTATTTCTCCATGCTGAAAACCCTATGGCAGGAAATAGATCACTTAGAAACTATGGTATGGGAAAATGTAAATGATGCAGCAACTTATCACAGACTGGTAGAGAGGAATAGGGCTTTTGAGTTCTTGGCAGGGCTGAACCCTGAATTTGACATTGCTAGGCAGCATATTCCTTCTAGGGAGGGAGTGACACTCTCTTAGGCCTATGCCTTTATCTCTGGAGAGGAGAGTAGAAGGAATGTAATGCTGAGACAGTCTGGGATTGCCTAGTCGGCTATGGTTGGTACAACAAAACCTAAGCCGAATGGAGACAGGGGGAGTAGTGAGACTAGAAGGGAAGATAAGAAGGACTTGATGTGTGATTATTGCAAGAAGCCTAAGCATACTAGGGACACTTGTTGGAAGCTTCATCCAAATCTTATGCTTGCTCGGATAAGAATCAAGAAGGGAAATGCAAATGTAGCTACTACAGGAGACTCTTCGGCCTCTTTTTCCCAAACTGATTGGGAATCCATTGCACTAGTAGCAGTGAGAACAGAATTGGAGAGGTTTGGAAGACTTATGAGTAAGAAAGATTCACCTAGCTCTATCCTTCCAGATGGGCAGCAGAATGCAGGAGCCAACTACACCACTTCTTTTACGCATACAAGTAGTTCATATGCAATTGCAAATCTTGCATCCACTTCAAGTAAGGTGGGACCTCCTTGGATTATAGACTCAAGAGAATCTAAGCACATGACTAATGCCCCTACCCTTTTCAGTTCCTATCAGTTGTGCTCTGGTAGAGATAGAGTCTCTATAGTAGATGGTTCACATATGCTCATTGCTACGAAGGGGATAGTTAAGTGACCAATGATATAACTCTGCCTTCTGTTTTACATGTCCCTAGACTATATACCAACCTACAGTCTATTACTTCTTTGACAAAAAAATTGAATTGTTCTGTGACCTTTCTTCCTAGTAATTGTGTTTTGCAGGATCTGGAGTCAAAGATGATTGGGAGTGGCCATGAGGTGAATGGAGTCTACCTTCTGGATGAGATTCCGAGACATCAGGGCCATCATATTAGCAGCAGCAGTAGTAATGGATCAGAGTCAATGAACCAGATTATGCTTTGGCACAATCGCTTGGGACATCTTTCTTTTAGTTCTTTGATATGTGTTTTCCCAAAGTTGTTTGAGTCTGTTCAGTTATATACTTTGGAGTGTGAGAGTTGTCAGTTAGGAAAGCATTGTAGGCAGTCTTTTAAACCAAGTAATAAAAGAAGTACTTATGCTTTTAATATTGTTCACACTGATGTATGGGAGCCATATCATATCCCTTCCATGGGAGGATTCCGTTAATTTCTCTTGTTTGTGGATGATTATACACGATATTCTTGGATATATTTAATGAGATCACGTGATGAGGTTCCTAACTTGGTAAGACAATTCCACCAGATGGTTCTCACACAATTTGCAGTGAGAACTAAGGCTTTTAGATCAGATAATGTTAGAGAGTACTTTGAGAAGGACCTGACCTCGTATCTCTTAGAACATGGTGTAGTTCATCAGAGCAGTTGTGCATATACACCGCAACAAAATGAAGTTGCTGAGAGGAAAAACAGACACATTGTGGAGGTGGCAAGGAGTCTTATGGTGTGTGCTTCAGTTCCTGTGCAGTTTTGGGGAAATGCAGTTCTTATACCCGTGCATTTGATTAACCATGTTCCTTCACAGACTTTGGGGTTTAAGGTGCCAGTTAGTCTTCTTTTTCCAAATGTAAAGATATTTCATATACCTTTGAGGGTTTTTGGCTATGTTTCCTTTGTTCACATTCTTGGCCCTCATCGCAAGAAATTGGATCCTAAGGCCAAGAAATGTGTTTTTCTTGGGTATGCTCAGAACAAAAAGCGGTATTGCTGTTATGAACCAATGTCGATGAGCAAATTTGTCACTATGGATGTTACCTTCTTTGAATCCACCTTTGGTGCGTCCATCAGTTCAGCCAACACCTACATCAGTTCAGCCAGCACCTGCACCTCCAGTTTCATTACCTGAGCCACTATTGGCAACCTCACGAAAATATCAGCGTTGGTAGATGATGGTTGACTCCACACATCCTCAACCCACACTACTCTCTGTCAGTCCTTCTGAAACTCCAGATTCGGCAAATACAGTTCCAGGTATTCCTCTTGAGCCTGAGCCTGTTATGTTTTCTGATGATAATGTTYCTGTCCCTAWCACCATTGTTGCARYTGATCCCRCTAACCTTGATCTTCCCATTGCACTTCGTAAGGGGAAGAGAAACTGTACAGCCCACTGCATTTCACACCATCTTTCCTACAATGCCTTATCACCCTCCTACT